ACGACCTATGTGAAGATGGAACAAACGTCAAATCTCCATTCAATGGATCGAACATGATTCATGAAACATCACATTCAGAGGGATGTTGAACTCGATTTTGATATTTTCTGTGAAGATTATATTTTCCATGATTCTTCCATTCGTATCGACATATGTGGCAATGAAAATATTAACTGCTCGTCAGTTTATGATGGTTTATGCACCATTTCTTCCGGTAGAACAGACTTTAAAGAATGAAGCGGAAACGTGGGAACGTCTGACATTCTATCTGGTATACCCGAATGGGTTCACCAAACATTCCTCTCCAAGAAATGCAAGTTGATTGCCGTATGAAATGATACGTCATATATAGTTGGAATATTGCAAAGCGTTTAGTAGTTCAAAGCTCGTTTTAATCACGTAAGTCGGTTAGAATCAACATACAGGAAACATCTCAAACAGATTCATTTGAATGTGAGTAGATGTGTTTGTACTCAACTTTTGAAACACACACAGTGTTTGAATGAAGATAATGTTCTAATAATTTGATCTATATGACTGAGAGTATGCTGATGAATGATTGTTAATGGCAAGATGAACTTTCCATTCAGATACTACAGTGTGAACAACTGTTATTCATGTGAACTGGTTATCTGTATTATACACATATTTGTGCATGTATGTATGTATGTGTTACGAGAGCGAGCGAGCGAGCGAGAGAGAGAGAGTGAAGGCATTACGCATGTCGGTGACAAAAATGTACAAATTCATTTATATAAACACTGTGATGATTGAAAATAGAAGCATCATGGTCAGTATGAAGAAGTGAACCGTTTAGATTTACTGAAAGTTAAAGGAACTGATTGAAAGTATGTTGAGATTATTGTTTGTTATTGTGAATTATTGATACCGGAAACCTTGTGTTCTTGCAAACTGTAGCTGAAATGAAGCTGAAATGATTCATGTCGTGGAACTCGATCAACTCACTCGAAATGAATTCTTCAGTGGATTTACACTCATGTTGATTACTTTGTGAATAGTGTGCAAATTGTGAACCGAACTAATTCTAAATATCCTCCATAATTTGGACGTGATCAGTTATCAGTGAACAATTACGAATTAAATAACATTCCCAGGAATGTTCTGCAGCTTCATAACTGCAAAGAATCCCATGAATACCCTCACGTCTTACTCACAATTCGAGGTTTTAGTTAGAGGCTCAACAACGGACGTCGATGCTTAAGTATTACAGTTTGATGTGATGGGCAGTCTATGTGACCGCACAAACCCAGTGTTGTTATCCGTCAATAAGAATGAACCTTGGTGACACAGGTTTAAGTTCTACAAAAAACTTTTATTTCCTCATGTTTTACATGAACAATCGCTGTCACTTAACACGTACTCAAAGGAAATATGTTCACTAGAATTCTTTCTCAACACTGAGGCACGATAGACTCAACTGAATCCGTTCCTTAAACAAAACACCATAATTTGAGATATGATCAAGTCATCGAATGAAATCACTCCATGTTTCGTAAAACAAACACACAAACAGTCTGGTTCTCGTCATGTATAGCAAACCTTCCAGTTTCCATACAGATCACATTGACAATGACAGGACTCACAATCGAGAAGTTTCTCATCACCAACTGAAATCGGTACAGTAATAGTTCTGTAAATCACCTATCGAATTCATTGTTCACATTCCACTTTCACACACATAATCTCTAGTCAAATATGAAAAGATTCATTTCGTTTATTTCCTTCTACACATATTCCCTGATCTTACTAAATGTGTTATGTAATAATTAGTATCGTTATTCATGTGTTGTAAATGGTAACAATCATGGCCATTAGAGTTAATGACAGATTGCTCGAATGTTCAATGTATTCAATGATCGTTGTTTAAATCCATTAGTCGGAAGTCGATACAATGAGATACAGGGTATGATAAGAAACAATAATGAATAGTTAATGGATTGCATTTATTGTCTATTTTTGTTTCAATATATATGCCAACTGAACTTTCCTTTATGATATGGACACAGTGAACAAACTTTATTTCATCACTTGTCAAATTGATCTTGATAATGTGAGATTTCGATTAATCTGTTTGATCAACATTCCTGATTGTTCGTCTTCATGTGTTTGAATCAAACAATCTGTCAACTGGATAAAACTGTCAATGAACTAAATCCATCAACTGTTGATTGGAATTGTGTACACCGGAATCATTTCTTGTTTGCTCTAACATTATCAACTATGATTTTCAATGATGAAGATTCCCATGGATAGAAGACAAACTTCAATATGAATATAAAACACAGTTGGAAGTTCTCAGATATTACCCCTTGGAAATACGAACTCCAACAAATTCACAAATCTATTTGACTACTATCATTATTCGTGATAGAAATCACACCATCACTCAAATGAAACGGATGTGCATAGAAACATTTGGACATAAATGTCGCTTCAATCAGACTACTGCCTCATTCACATTCACTGATGAGCAAACATCGAATCTCGAATCTGAACAGTAATCAGTCATGTTTTTTTTCCACGGTGAAGAAGGAAGCGTGCATTTTCAATATCAACATTTCAGTGAGACTTGTTTATTTGTTTTGATGAACAGAGAGAATTATATCAATACAATGGAGATTATTGTAGATGATTGATTAAGTTTCTCAGTTGACCTCTTGGAAATAACACATGGATCGGACAGCAGAAAGATCAGGTCAAAGATATCTGTTCACAGTTTGAAATATACATTTCATTCCTCTCAAAATATAGAAACAGTTGAAATTTCTGAGTAATCTATGAGTTCATTTGACGCAACTGTATGAGAAGAAATGGGAGAAATCATAGGTGAACACTATGTGGTGATCGTTATTCAAATAATCCTTAACTCCCATACTGTTCGTCCTAATAACCTTCACTAGATAACACTCCAACGCCGTATATTAATCATAAGGCAAACACAAAGCGTTAATTACGTTAATTACTGCACCACACACAGATAACCAAAATTACAACGATGTTAATCAAACATGAAAGAGTAGTGCCTAGAAGCAAGCAGGCAAGCGAGTGAGTGAGTGAGCGTGCGAGTCGAATGAGCGAGTCAGCGAGTCGATGAACAGGATTGAAATGTACATATATACACATAGTGAACTGAATGAATCATGGAATCAATTCAGCGACTAATAGTAAGGCTAGCAGCATGAATATATATGCGTAGGCAGCAAGCAACGCTCGAGCATACATATTCACACCAGCACAATAATAATAAAGGTCCGATGGTATAGATAATTTGTTATTATACGAATGTCTCTATCATGTAAAAATGTGTTAACAAAAGGGCTTAGCCAAATTAAATGCGAACAAACTCAATTACACATGAGCTGCTATCACTACGTCATATTGCCCACACAAAATGATTAGTCAGTCAAATTCCACTGATGCATACCGGACATATTCAATTCACTTCAATGATATCCTACATCATCAAATTGATGGAGTGTTCATTGGCAGCACATTGCATTCAATCCTGGCATATGCGTTTATGAGATATATAGAACAGACAGCAGTGCAATCAGTGATCAATTAGACACAGTTTTATGTCACTTATGTGGATGATACATTTGTGGAGTGTAATACATAACACTTTGCTTCCCATATACTCAAGCTTCAGACTAGAGGACACTTAAATATCAGACGTACAGTTGAACATGCTTATTTTCCTTGCTTCAATCGAATATACGAAATTTGTATACCATTTATTATTCATTCAAACACAGTATTCGCAGAGATTTTCTCGTTAAACATTATGGAGTATAACCAATTCATAAAGACCAGTACTTTGATCCATCAACGAACAACATATCTGTATTCATTTTATCACAAGTAGTCGTTTCAATACTGTTCTCTTTGATATTCATTATGGAAGTTTCAGTTCCTTCTCGCTCTTCGATCATGCCAATCCGGTTTATGGTTTCCACTAAACTTCAGTGTTGTGTATGGTTAAACATTTGTCCGGGAATATTTTGTTATATTCACAAATCTGCATACAATCTCTTCAAACAAACACATGTGAAAAACCCATTTCACACTTATCATCAAACATTTCAAAATAACACCTCAAATTATCAAAGTAGTTCCAATCAGTCATTTGAACTTCCTTCAATCAACGTAGAAAACACAATGTTCAGTTCCCACCAACACAATGCATGAGGTACATATACACACTGTGAACATACACATACTTGAGAATACATGTGTAGGGAATAATACACACGCATACACAAACACACACACTTGGAACTAATCATATCTCGTATTTCAATTATCAACTTTGAAAAATCGAATGTACAAATATTCCATTTCACAGACAACAACCCACATCGAATTCAATGTTTGATCATATCACATTGAATAATGATCAGCTCATTATTATTAATGATCACGCAATGTTGCAATTAATTACTGAAGTTGTAACCTGAGATCGATCAGTCCATCAATTCGGGAAAGTGTATAATATTCAACGTGTTTGTGTAATCAGTAATCCATCTCAGTAGATATATCAAACTAAGTAGGGTTGGAAGGAACTGTGGATCTACTGAATTATAGGAAGTGGATATGTGACTGGAATATATCTTCAATTGATATCTTTCAAACATTTCAACCAGTATGTTTGCCACATGCACCAACTTACTGTACTCACACATCAAATTACCATAAAGAATATTCTACCCATTCATATTAGATTCGGTGTTTAACAGACATCATCATCATCATCCATACTAAAAATTCTTGTTTCAATGCAGTCAATTAGTTGAATGTGCTCGGTCGAGCACAGTGATCACCTGCACCGACCGGTATCAGAGATTACTCTGTCAGGCTGTATGAATCCAGATGATTAGTGTAACACCAGTCAACCACTATCCACGTCCAAACATATTGTCACTTCCACACGTCAACAACTTCTCACATTTTACTCAATCAGATTCAATGTTTGAAAGAACATGGAATCACCATCTTCTGATTGTGCTACATTAGGTCATCTTCACGTTTATCCATCTAGCGTATGTTTGAGTATATCGCCAACCCACTCATCATCATCATCATCATCATCCGAAGCATCATCATCATCATCATCCGAAGCATCATCATCATCATCCGAAGCATCATCATCATCATCATCCGAAGCATCATCATCATCATCATCATCATCACTGCTCCGCAGTTTACTTTTGTTTAGCTACAGAGAGTGGATCACTCTTTGTCAAGTGGAACTAACATACATACTGTGTACAGTCTTCCTCTCCACTTCATTTATCTCACTCTGTTTCTGCACCATTATTCATTTGCATTTTCAATCACTTTTCACAGTTATCATCCGATCAGAAGAAAGTCGATGTTGGGCGGCATGCATATCACATTGTTAGTTCTATTCACATTTAAATTTCACATTTCATTTTGCCAACCACACTACACTCTACCATTTAATATATCAAATACTCTTCCGTTATGCTCCCACTCAATGTGAAATTGATGAATCCTCTCATTGCATACAATATCAGTTGTGACTGGCATTACATTGCATGAATGTGTTTCACGGGTTTCCGTTTCCAATGTATATTGTCAGCTTGTTACCAACCATGTGCGTATGCGTGTGTGTGTGTTTAGGTGATGGAGGAAAACAGAAAGAAATGTAAGGATAGAGAGAGATTATCAGTGGTGTAGTTTGAATTATACTTCCGTTCTCTTCATTCGAACGTCTATCTATTCATCTATCTATCCATGTTTCTATTTAACTACCTATCTATCTATCTAACTATCTATCTATCTGCTTATCTACCATGCTTGTGACAATGTCATTGATGAAATACAAAGAAGGTAACAGATAGGATGAATGGATTTCCGGTTTATTCAATTACTTGTTTCAATCAATTCATATGAAAATTTCAATTTGAACATTTGTGTGGTATGCATGTTGGAGAAAATGTAATGTGATCAGATCACTCAAAGAGAATAAATCTCCTCACTTGTTCATGAATCTTCAAATAATGGATCGGAATTTCGTGATAATGCACAGTTTGATCTCAGTGCTCAGAACAATATCAAAAGTGAAAAGACACGAGATTTCCAGTAACAAGGTTCTCACCACAATATATCAACTCAACACTCAACATCGTTTTCGACATTCCACTGATTACTCACAAAATGTTCAACAACATAATAAGAATATTGAATGAACATTGTCCTAATTTACACTCATTCCACTAACATCCATTCCACTGACACGAGTGTTGGATGGATGACGATGTGGAAATGGACTGGTGGGGATTTGTAGCTGAACACGATGATGAATATACAGCATTTTCATGCTGTCACTTTCGAGTTATTCAGCTGACCAAGTTTCACAAATGATTATCTGTCCATAATTCACATTTAACAGATGGCCAACACACATGTGTGCTAACATGCTCTTCCTTAGTGTAATTTACGACACTTCGACTAGAATAACAATGAATAAACAGACTTCACATTAATGTGTTTTCGTTTGTGCACACGTGAAATTTGTAGAAATCAATTATATAATGATGTCGGTGTCGGTGATCTGTTCCAATACAACTGCATACTCACTCATCTATAAACAACAGAACATTGAATGTTTAATCGAATCACTTCTCACCAATTATTTCCAGTTATCCAACACACCTCGCATCAATACTCTACTACACTTTACTATACTATTACTATTCATACTTGATTAGGATAATACTGAACAGAAACAAATCATAATGAAAGCGACAATAACTGTGTGCACACTGTTAACTTAATGTGAATGGATCAGTCGACGTGATTATAATAAGCAAATCTGTCTGGGTTGTTAGTGTTGATGCTGACGATTTCCATGTATGTTGTTTTATGCTTGCTCAATAGTCAACTATCATAACACCAACTTATATTCGTAAGTGGAATTAAAAGCACATAGATTTGACAATGTTCTTATAGTTTGATTGCTCAAAAATCAATAAACACATCACTTCCAGTTCAGCCTGATCAAGTGAACGACGGATAGGAAGTCAGTTTGGTCAATGAGAAACCCTGAAGTGAAATACGATCAGTTTGATGCACAATGATGATTGTGACCAGTTCGAGTAGTCAAATCAAATCATCAATCGATTGATCGTTGTATGGAATGAGTCAAATAGAGTGCTAATTCACTAAATAAACCACTCCATTGAATAACGCAGTTATAAAATAAAAAGATTGGTCAAATCATTTGTTGTGTGAGATATGTTACAACAAACACCAATCGAAATCAAAATCGGAACCAAGTCACATCAATTAATAATGTGTTTTCCAGTCAACAGTTGACGTTTAATTCAGATCACAAATAGAACCAGATCGATTCTGAAATCGATTCGAGTGAACTAACCAGCTAATGATCACCATAATTTCCCTTATTCATCTACAATCTATGAAACTGTGTATTCAAACTGTATAGTGCCAACTGAAACAACAACAACAACAAAACACATTCATATTGATCATGGTGGATAAGCGAGCGAGAATGAACATCTCGTGTGTGTGTGTGTGTGTGTGTAACATCTAATTTGAAACAGCTGTTATTCTTATCAATGTCTATACATAGTTGATAATTATTGTATGTAGAAGAATGAATATATAACAGTGTGAAAATGTGTTTCACATTAACCAATTCACAGTTTGCATTCTCATCAATGCTGTGATGGTGGTGATGATGATAATAATAATAACGGGATATCACGCTCTTAATCTGTGTGTGTGTGTGTCGATATTCAGTTCAATATTCATTGAAGAGGAAGCTGTAACTTGCAGTAAGTCAAATACAACTGGTATTTATACCACAGTACGTCAACAACTGGCAATTCACAGGATTACGTATATGACAATGTGGTGGTTGACATGATAACAATGTGAATAATCAATGGAGAAGTGATCGATTGAACAACAATCGCACTAATCCATTGATTAATTTGCATTTCACTGTTCAAACAGAAATAAGAGATTCGACACAGGAATACAGTGCAATTATTTGCACATCCAATATCACGTCAATATCACATCACTGACATCACTGATCAGTCACACAATTCGTATATGAAAACATGAGAGTGATGAACATGCTTCAAAGCTGCATACACGTGGAATGCATTTAATTTCAACTCGATTTTCATAACAGCGAAATTCTCTAACACAGGAACTACATGTGTCATCATCATTTGATAATATCAGAACAACAATGAAATTTGATCAAAATACTGAACAATTCCGCCCTTCCACTGAACAATGTCGGTCAACATGGAACTATTTGATGCTGATCGGTTGTGAGTTCGTATCATGATGGATTCGCTGACAATGAATTAACATCTGAACAGTCATCACCATCGATTTGAACGAACTCGTTTAAAAATGATAATTTTCTATGAATATCACCGTCACACAATTCACGACTTACTTGTATTGTAGTGAAGAAGAACACGGTTGAGGACAACCAAATTGTATTTAGGACAAATTACAGAATTACTTGGTAAAATAGAAAAACTATATAGTAAATCGTTAATTTGCAAAATATCATTCTATCATATCTAATGTCTCGCATTTCATTGTTCATGCGATTTCTTACAAATTCCATTGTTTTCTCGCTCTTCTTTTCTTGATCTTCTCCATCTTCTGCTGCCAGACATTACGCTCTTTTGACTCACGTTATATACTACTTATATCAATATAAGTAGCACGCACCACACTCGTCCCCCCTTTTAACAAGTTGCTGTCGTAGTCTTTCTGATCTCCGTACCGCTGTGTTCTTTGGTGCTTTTCGTGATTCACACCCATGATGATCTTGAAACCATCTCTGTAGTTGACTAGCATTTACGCGCTTCTGCTTGTCTTCTCTCCGAATAGTGTAGACCGAGCCGCGTCTCTCCGTTATAACATACGGTCCTTCCCATTTTGGGGCCAGCTTCCCCGACCCTGCTCCCCCTGCTATGTTACTTTTTCGTTCTCTACACTTTACTAGGTCCCCCACTGCAAATGGTTTCCACGTTCTCCTCTGTTGTTCTGCCTTCTTTGTGTCTGATATTTGTTTCTTTTTCACGTTCCTTATTGCCTCTCTCCTCTCTTTTCTTAACCTTGTTGTCGTCCACTTCTGTTGTTGTGGCCAGGTCTTATTATGCATTGGAAGTCGTGGTTGTCTGCCATACATGAGCAAGAAAGGTGACTTCTTGGTTGTTCCTTGTGTGGAGGAACGATGTGCCAGCAAAATCAATGGTAACTCTTTCTCCCAATTTCCTCCTTTTGATGCTAACCATTCCTTTAACGTCCGATTGTTTCTCTCTGTAAGCCCGTTTGTCTGAGGATGATACGGTGTAGTTCGTATTCTCTTGATGCCAAACTGCTTTAAACGGGCTTTAAACTCGTCACTTTCAAAACAGGGACCCTGGTCAGTTAATATCATCTTCGGTATTCCGTGACACGCTACAATATGCCGGATTACCACCTCGGTCACTGTCCTTGCCCGCTGGTCTGCAATGGGTACGGCATCTACCCAACGTGTAGCATGTTCCGTCATCACTAACAGGTACTGGTTACCGCTCGCCGTCTGTGGAAACGGTCCCATCACATCCACCGACCATAGATCACCGACTGCGGTTACTGGGATTGACTGTAATGGCGGTTGTGTGTATCGATCGCTTTTCATTAGCTGACACTGCTGGCAGGTTAACACGTATTCAGCCACATCTTCTCTCATGCTCGGCCAGTATGCACTTTGTCGTAGTAAGTCCGTCGTTCTTGCGATGCCTGTATGTGCTACCTGGTGACACTCGTGTATCACTTTGCGCCGCCAGTCTTTCGGGATCACCGCCACCCAATTTTCATCATCGTCCTGCCAGGTCAGCACTCCATATGAGTTCACTCTCAGTCGGTCCTTTTGCCGAAGCAGCGTTATTACCTCCTTGTCCATTGTTCGTTTATCTACGTCTGCTCCCTCTTTTATCACTCTGATTACCTCTCGAAGGTTAGGGTCAGCTTTCTGCTGCCGGACGAGTTCTAATGGGTCTCCCTCTAAACTATTCACCGCGTATGCTGTTAATGGCAGGTCGGCTTCCATGTCTGGTCTTGACAAGTAATCTGCCATTACGTTTTCTTTTCCTGGAACATGGCCGATACTGAAATCGTATTCTTGCAGGCGTATCATCCATCGCGCCAACTTCCCTCGGGGGTCTCTTGCTGTTTTCAACCACTGCAGGGGTTTATGGTCGGTCTCAATGTGAAATCGTCTACCTAAAAGGTATGGTCTCCATTTTTCCACTGCCCACACGATCGCTAAACACTCCTTTTCGATGGTTGAATACTTCTGTTCAGCAGGTGTGAGGACGCGACTCGCGTATTCCAC